TATAAATAAATTATTTATTTTAGAGATTCATCTCAAAGATATTTCGAGGACATTAATAATAATATAAAAATGTCTAAAAATTCTACGATACAGTTGCGGCTCGCAACACAACCCACACGCAACGATGCATTACCATTTTAAATACACATGTGTCATTTCCATGGTAACAACTTGCAGTTCGATTATATAAACAGAAGGTTAAGAGCATTAAGGGTCTTGAGTGTTTTGTAAAGGGCGAATTTTTAGGGTATTATTAATCACAAGTTTAAAAAAGAAAGTTCAAAAACCAAAGCTTTTTTTTTGTCAACGAGTATGTCAGTGGAAGGAGAATTTTTTCTCTCTGTTACCGGTTCTATCGAGCATGCAGAGTTTTACGAGGTCAATAACGTTTATTGCAAGTATAGCTTTCATTTCGGACCTGACTGGAGCGTCGTTACGGTAAGCTCGCATAGTAATAAAAGAAAGTCGAAACAAACAATAAAATTAAGTTATTATTGTCATAAGGGAATCTAAGGCATGCGACAATATTGAATTACATCAAAAGGAAAAACTTCATATAATCTCTTTTTATGTTTAGAATAAAATATTTATTGACCAATAAAATTTCAAAATTATGTCAACTAAATGTAATTAATTAACTGTAAAATTTTATGAATTGTTCATTATTCGTACATTTTAATAGTAAGAAAATTAATGAGAAAGAATATAACAATGGCTTTATAAACAAAAACAATAAAAGGCATAAAATATTTAAACCATACGCTGGATTTTTTATGCGCAAGATTTCTATTATTTAACGAATTCGAACGAATCTTGCGCAAAAGAGACAAAAGAAATGGTTTAAATGTTCTATGCCTTTTATTATTTTTGTATTTTTTATTTCTATTTCAGTTAACATAAATTAATTATTGTCTCTATAGTTGCTTTTGAATTCGTAATTATGCAAAATAGTTTTAAGAAATTTGAAGAATAATTATATCATAATAGAATAAATATTGAGATGGAGAGCCGCGCATACTGATGATCTTAACTCATATAGCACAGAGAATCTAAAAAGAATTCTTTTTTCATTCCCGACTTACGAAATAAATTCTTTTTCTATCCCATTTCTGTTCTAAAAGTATTTCTAAGGGTCTCAAAAGAATTCACTTTTTTTTTGTCACCAATTATATACGAGTTCTTTTTTGGATTCAAAACGTATACTCTTTTTTTTAATCTAAATAAATTCACAATGAAATCGAAATAACTTTTTTAGATTACCTAATTTGTGAAATCACGAATTTATAATAAAATGTCTTTTCACAGGGAATCGAAGAAGGGTTGACGCAAATGTGTAAATGCAGTAACGATTCTAGAAATCTCGCCGTATGGAACTTTCCATTGGAGATTACGTTCAAGAGTACAAATCCACATGGATGTGAGTGATGTATAGAAATATTTTTTATGATATGCGTTTTAAAGGAAGGATAAAACGCGTAAAAAAATATGGAAAAAAATTTTTTCCCGTGCTTTTCACGTTTCATATTTTTAATCTACGAATAGCGAAATATGTATTTACTAAATAGGGCCACAACTTATCATGTCGATTTACGGCTTGGATTTTTTCGGTCGCGACGTCATCAGGGGATACGGAGTATGTCATTTGCCTCTGAAAACTGGATATCATGAAAAAAGGTATTAAGCTTAAGACACAACTGAAAGTACGTACAATAGAAACAGCAAATTATATATAGATTTTGGGTACGATCAAGTTGTCGCTACGAATGCTTTAAAGCATTTTTTGATTGGTTAATTAGTAAAATTTTTTCTACCGATTAATCAAATGCTTCGAAGCATTCGTAGTGGCAACTCGACCACACCCTTCATCCTATGAGAAACTGTACAATCTGATGTACACAGTTTCTGATAGCTTAAAATCTGCCTTGTTCCTATTACCTACTCGGGAAAATGTACTCGTATAATGGACATATTATATATATAATTATATATAAAATATGTCAATTTTATATATAATTTTATATAATTTTATATAATTTTATATAATTATATATAATTATATGAAACATTTTTTCCCAGGTAAGCTATTTATTTTTGTATATTAATCTTATTCATGCATAATAGTAATGATCAGTAGATAAAACATATGGAATAAGAGCGCCATTTAAAGAAATTGTAATTTGATTTAACATGTATAATAACTTTAGCTATAAGTATATGAAGCATCATCAATTTATTATCGTATTTTCTTGGAAAAGGCGGCAATAAAAATCACAGAAGGATTAATTATTTAAATTATTATAAAAATAAATATTATTTTTTAATGAAATATTTTTAAATTTATTTTAAATATAAGACGACGTCAGTTTGCGAATGCTTATATACTGCTTTTATACTTATGGCCGATGCTATTTTGAATTATAGGAGTATGCTACAAAACCTAAATATTGATCTTTGTAACCGTAGATATTTGTTTCACATCTTACGACCAAGACGAATTATATCTAATAATGAAAGATGTCGCAGGTAAACTGCATTATTCATTGATTTATAGAACAACTCTATCATTTGTTGTTAACTTTTGGTGAAATTCCTTCAAGTTCAGTTATCAATCAATAAGTGAAGATAAATTTCAAATTTTCGTGATCCTAAAATATCATTACATTTTTTTCACAGACGACACTTATAAATATTATCAAACATGACATTAAAAAAACCTATAGAGCAAGATATATGAAAAAAGTTTTCTTTTGTGTTGGAATAAAGAAATGAAATCTCACTTCTTTGGAGTGAATCTTATTTTAAACGAGAAAAATTTCATTCTAATGGAATAAAAATTTCTCATTCTTTTTTTAAGGTAAAAAATATTTTCACTCTTTTTCACACACAATGACTGGCTCAATTTTTATTCTTTTAAAGTGAAATTTCACTCTAAGAAATTTTAAAGAGTACTCTAACACAAAAGAAAACTTTTTTCATATATCCAGCTCTGTTTTTTAATGTCATTTTTGGTAACATTTACAAGTGTCGTCTGTGAAAAAATGATATTTCTGGATTACGAAAATTTGAAATTTATTTTCACTCTTATTCCAAAAAAGTGAAATCTCACTTCAATTGAGTACGTACCACTTGGCACATATCAATTTTCAATCTCTGAAATGGTGCATTGTCTTTTGATGCTTTAATGCTTTTACGAAATTTGAAATCTTGAAAGGGTGTCGATATACGTGCCGGAATCGTCATCCATGTTGCAGCATTTCATGGAGTGGTTAACCGGCAGAAGACCGGAATTAATTGATCCCACTATACTTGCGTCCGGCGGCGGCAGAGAACGTAAGGAAATCAAGATATTTCTCGTTAGTGTGTCTATTATGTAGTTTTAAATTAATTATATTTAGGAGACTGGAAATGTAATGGAATATAATCAACGGTGTCGTATTCGTGTTATAAAATTAACTCAGATGTCAACTAATTACATTCAGCTCTTTTTTTTTGTTCATGTCGTCAGTCAAATTGACTCTTCATAAAATGGCTTAAATGTGATTGACTATCTGCTTTCCTTTACTTTCAAGTTACTACGCATAGGGATGACTCACTTTGAATTATTTTCATCATTAGACCAACACTATCAAAATATTTTGAAACGCTTATAAAAAATAAACGTTATTCATTATAAAATTTTAAATTAAACGAGAGAGAGAGAGAGAGAGAGAGAGAGAGAGAGAGAGAGAGAGAGAGAGAGAGAGAGAGAGAGAGAGAAGCTAAATAACAATGTAATATCAAAACTTGTGCTGGTTTTAATTTTTTGGTTGCTTATTACCAGCGCAAGTATTGATTGGTTGTTGTTTTTCAGCTTTCTGCTTTTCTATTAAAATCTGAACCCTAAGGAAGCGTTTGGCCGTAACCGTATGTCATAATCTGTAAAAATTGACCAATCACCTTCGAGTATTCTCTTCTTACCGCCGAATGAGAGGGGAATATTTGACTTGATTAATCAATTTTTACAGATTACGGCATACGGCATACGGTTTGCGGCCAATATATATAAACGCTCTCTAAGACGTTTTTACGCTGTCGTTAATAATCCGGGAATTATAATTTTCTTTATGTGATTTTCTTAACGTGATACCGATTGAAAAAAAATTTGAGCATTAGTCTAGGTCGTAGAAAAGAGAAAAGTCAGTGCCACATCCGGACTGACCGCAATATGACAGTGTTTTATAATAAGTTTTCCTTATTATAAAACACTTATAATTTTTACTAACTGAAATAACGTTCATAAAATGTTGATGAGCGACTAGAAAACCTTTCTTATAATCTTATTAAATCATATATTAGAACAAGAAAGTCACTTTTCATATTGTCATATAATTATACATAATATTATTCGATAAGTTGACTTCGCGTCGCAACGCGCCACCGCCTAGATCGTCAAAGCGTGCATCTTCAAAGGGCTGATGACTTTTACAACGCCTGAGGGCAGCCAGATTTTTATATAACTTTTTAATGCTCTTCAGGCTATGTATTATCTTCAAAAAAAATCAATCGGTATCAAATAACGTAAAGGCATCTCATTTTTTGTTATCTTTGACCCGCCGGGCAATTTACGTAACTTCTTTCATAGCCAGGTATTGTTGTTATTATACTTTAAAGAGTTCAAACTACTACCTAAAGAAGTTTCAAGCAGTATCGTATAACATTTGTACATGGAATTTTTTACGACATTGATGGAGTGCGGTTCTACATGTATATTGCGGCCAATTCAGACAACAAGGCATTGATTTTTTTTCTTTTCCACATCTATCAAGAGCCGGGTAGTGGTTCGAAGCTAAGGGAACGCGTAGTGTTCTTAGTATGAGACTGCCGGGTATTTATGCGGAGCGATGAGTTTCACGATTATTATATCTCAATGACGGCTATGTCGATCAAATTCTATGTACAGACTAACAACACAAAAATTTCCAATCGGTATCAAATCATGTAAGGAAAATCGCTAGCTCCCGGACTATAATGCCTTTCTTTCAAATTGTATCTATTTTGTAATATTACAGTCACGCGCATGAGGGTCGAAGGAGTTGTTACCGTAATGTTCAACGTTGTTTTGAAGGATTTGTTTAAGCTGGGTTACGACAACGGTGAAAAATGGAAGAAATGATAACGTCACATAAATTCTCTCAGTCTGAAGAGGATTACCTCGCCAAGGGACTATCTTGTCAAAAAGTTACGATATATAATTTCATTTTATAAATAATATTTTCTCGAATAAACGAGACGTAATTTTTCCGTATAATTTATCGCTTCATTTTTCCTCAACGGCAAAAACGAGAAAGTTACGAAATCAAGATCGTATTTTCACGTTAATGGGTATTCTGTGTATAAAAGACGAGAAAATGAGGCTAATCCCTTACGAAGAGATTATTAAGTTTCACGTAGTTTTAATCCATGAGATGATTTCGTATGAAGCTACGGCGACGTGGACGGTTGTGATAAGTAACCGGTTTTCTAAATCGTGTCTGCAGATTTCCAAAAATGTATATATTTTTTTTAAATTATAAATTAGCGAATAAAAATAATAAGATGTATGATTGAGAATGTTTATTATCATGCTTATCTCATACAGTATATATATATTTTTTATATATATATATTTTTTATATATATTTTATTTATCATTTATGAGTAGGTACATAAATTAAATAGTCCTCAAAATACTAAATAATATAATAAGTATTTGATAAATAAATAAGTACTATTGGATAATAATATAAATATAAAATGTTTTGCAATAAATCCGCTAAAAAGCAAATTTAACCCTGCATGTGAATCACTGTTTTTCACTAATGTCGTGTAAATTAGGTTAAACATAAAGTTATTTATGTTTGTACCATATTTCTCCTTATAAATTGTGAAAAATCGAAAAAAAATTTTTTTTACATCTTTACTTTATGTTCTAAACTTGGATATTATATTG